AGAAGACCTTGCAAAATAACTCGTGACTCTCTCAGATCCGGGGATTCGGATTCCCAAAATTTAAATCCGGCATTGCAGAGATCTATGCTTTCACGCCACAAGGTAGGTAAATGAACTTTGCCGCTCTTCGCCGCTGCGATTACAAGCAAACTCTTCAAGAACATGCCCCTATTCTCGTACCAGGTGCCATGATGGCGGTGCCTGGGAGTGCCTCTAAGGAGGAATGCCAAACAAGCGTCAATGCACTTTTGCACATATGGCGCTAATCTTTGTTGTATCAATTCATCCGAGGAATGCGTGATGGCAAGGTAGAGAAATGGACGGTAAATTCGCTCTCTAAGATCTGGAAGTCGAGCATGGAGAACAAATTGCAACTCTTCAGCAGCAAGCTTGTTGCGAATTTCAGACGCGTCCAGCATCTTAAGCGCATTTGGGAGATTATCGAACCTACGAGCAAGTCAGTCACTTCCGGTAGCGATGCAGGCCAATTTACACACCATTGACTAATTTGCAGCTCCAGCTCTTCTGCAACTCTTATCATTCGATCAATCGGCATTGACAGCCAGGAGCTCTCTCCTTGTCTATAGAAACAATTCATTATGCGGTTTGCGATTTTGCGAACTGCCAGTTCTGACAGATAATAGCTCCAGATCATTTCAAGATCAAGCTCAGACGGTCTAAGGGAGAATGATTCACGGCGATGTTCAGATCTTGCCAGACTTTGATCGTCTGATATCTCGATCTCATCACTGGGATTAGGAGGCGTTGGAAAGACATCTGGGTAGGCAATGTTGGCAAGTCCAGAAGGCGGAAGATTCATCTCCATTCGAAGTTCACTGTATATAGCAATTAGGATATCATGTTTGATTTCGTGGGTGATTGATCTTGGTGACATACCATTCAGACTTGAGACAGGACCAGTATAGCCTACTGACTACGTCTTTCGAACCAAGGAACTCATGTCTTCCTTGACCTCTTAAATAAACCTGAAGTGTAATGCACGCCCTGTTGAAAGAGGTCCATGCCTTTGCCGGCCGTAGCGAATACATTTCATATACCCCAGACAGAAAATAACACTGAGTGGCTATCACTGAGTTATCGAGAAGGCCAAGCCGTTTCTGGGAAGCAATATAATAGCTCTCTGCCGTCGTGTAATCTTGTGTATCCTCGATACTACACATGGGATGAAGGCGCTCGACGAGCTCACTTGTGACGGGATCTGGCACAAAGCCGGCAGACAAGCTCCCCAACGCGCATACGACCAACTGAAGTTATATTAGCATTTCACCGACTGTCAAAGTCGTCAAAGGAGTGCGACTTACGATAAGACACGAAGTTGAGTCCCAACCGAAGCCGTGTTCAGCAGTCCACTTGGCTTTGACCTTGAGATCGTCTGGATCGAGGACGGGGTTCTTTATGTGAACATTGACGAGGAACTTTTCAATCAAATGGGGAATGTGGTCTTCCATAATACCACGTCCTGGACCATAACATCGCAACTGGTGACCATTTGATGGATGTAAACCACTCTGGCTCAGTCGATGTTGCTCGCTCACATTGCTGTCATCGGGGCTGAATATTCGAGAACTGATAACTGTACTATCATATCGACCTTCGAAAACATGCCAGTTGAGGACATCTTCGCATCCGCCAGGGCTCAAGCCTGTGAATTCTAGAGAGTCATGTAATCCATCCGGATCAACATGATGGCTATGACTTGAGATGAAATCCTCCGAACAGGAAACCGAGTTGCCATGTATCGAGTGCTTGGACACTGCTTGTGATTTGTTTAAGACAGGACTGGCATCAGTCGGGGAACTGGTGGGCATGACAGCTGATCCTAGCATGAAGTCGGGGATAGCATCTCGTTGGGTCTCAAGGAGATTCGCAACATAATTAATCCTTTCCAGGATCTCTAGACTCGCTAGATCGTATCTTTTGATATGTCAGATCGATGCCATTGGCCTGAGGACTAGAGACTGTACTTTGAATGGTCTGCTTTGGGATGTTGAAAGGTGCAAGCAATATCAACCTCCTTACATGCTCCACATATCGGCCTATCATTGTCACATTTTATTTTGCGTTTCCTACAGGCTTCACAAGCCACAATCGCCCTCTTACGCGGATAATCTGGCCTTCCTCTGTGTGCCCGCCGCCGGGGTTCTGCGCTAGGATGCACATGATCTGTATTATTCGACGGGGAATGTGACATTTCGCCCAATCCCCGAGATGCTGATGTGTTGCTAGCTCAGCCAGCCGACACGCAGGGCGTCAATTGCTGGATCAGTCGTAAGTGATGTGAGCAAAGAGCGGAAATGGTGTTCCCGTGCTTCCCCGGGATCCCCATGATCTATGTAGGGCAACGCTGGCACACACTAGCCGGCATTCCCCGGATCTTGCGAAGCCGGCACTCCACGCGGCACACGCCAATGCAGAGCTAGGACGTACTAAATGAAGCGATCAACATGGCTCTGTTCCAATCAAAAGATGGGCACGAACGTAACAGTTGAGGGGCGCTGAATGGTCTTTGTCATCCTCTAGCGCTCATCGCGGTCAGACAGTGGCATTGGGCCGAAATGCAGGTCCGTAATTTGGATGCAAGAATCGTACACCTGTCTATACACTTATATGAACTGACATTAGATCATTTGTGATCTTCGTATCTCTCTTCAATTATCAAGATTGTTTAAGAACCTTTTGATAAAAATGCCTGACGACAAATTCCTCCGTGTGGGCATTATCGGCTGCGGTGAGATCTCCCAGGTAGCTCATATCCCTAATTTGAATTTCCTTGCCGACAAGTATAGAATTACATATCTCTGTGATGTGTCTAAAAACGCTCTGCGACACTGCGCCCAGATGGTACAGCGCTGTGTCCCCAAGACAACGACTAGCGCCGAGGAGTTGTGCGCCTCTGAAGATGTCGACGTTGTTTTAATATGCAGCGGTGACGAGTATCATGTCGCACAAGGAATTTTGGCCCTGAAATATGATAAATGGGCTTTGATTGAAAAGCCTTTGGCATTCTGCTTTCGCGACTATGATGCCCTCATTGCAGCCGAGAAGAATTCGAAAGGAAAGGTGTTCGTGGGTACAATGCGCCGCTTTGCTCCGGCCTTTCTAGAGGCAGTGCAGGAAGTCGGCGGGATGGACAGGATTATGTACGCGAGAGTCAGATCCATCATTGGCCCAAACGCGAACTTTGTCAATCAATCCGGCACCTACCCACAAAAATTCACGGATTATACGCCTGAAGACATCAATGACAGGGCGAAACGGGAAGAAGATATATTTGGCCGTGCTCTCAAGGATGAGTTTGGCGTGGAGGTAACACCTGAATCTATCTCTCAGTTGAGGATTCTTGGGAGGTAAGTTTCCATGTCAGAAACACCCGACTCTTAAAACTTCGCTAATTCGTCACCAAGTCTGAATTCTCATGACATATCGGCAATGCGTGAAATCATAGGCATGCCGAAACGTTGCCTAGGTGCTTCCCTTGGTTTCCCTGGCATCTACAGCACCCTCTTCGAATACAGCGGGTTTTCCGTGACCTTCGAGTCCGGTATCAATAGTGTACCAATATTCGATGCGCATATCGAGGTGTACTCCGACGATAAAATCGTAAGAATCCAATATGATACTCCATACGTTAGAGGCCTCCCCGTCACGATGACCATTAGAGAGAAAACGTCCAGTCGGCCGGGCAACAATTCATTCGGATATCAGGAAAGAGTGGTAAGACGGACATACGAGGATCCGTATACACTCGAAGTGCTAGAATTCTATGACTGTGTGCTACATGGAAAGCCCATCAAGACAACAGCTGTTGATGCCAGGCAGGATCTGGAAATATTCAAGATGATCCTGACCGCAGGCGAGAAAAGTTATAAAACACGGCAATAGACGTGTATAAAAAATGGAATTGATGAATAAAGCATAGAAATTGTTTATTTAGTAACTGAAAGAAAGTCGAAGGACTGGCAGTGGCATCACTTTGATACGATAAATTCTTGTCTTTGAGATAGAAGGTTAAACATGCAACCACCGCATAATCAATCAGAATATCTCACATTCTCGAAATTGCCTCACACAAGTCAACAATACTCCTCGGTCTCCATTTTGCCACTTGAGACTTTTTCAACGAGCACAATACATGACTCCTGCACAGCTCATCATTTAATTCAATGTTTAGATCCCAAAGATCAGTGACCAGCGAATGCTTCAGCAGTATTTCCTCCAGAAAACCCTTCAAGATGGTATAGAGGCTCGAGCTTAGCATTGCTCTGGAAAAAGATGTAGCGTTTGATCCACCACGGTATCCATGTGCGAAGGTGGTACGCTGCATGGCGCCGTGTCGGGACTCCAAAAATATAATCAAGTTCCTCCAGTGTTCGTTGCCTGAGAAGTATTATGATCAGCATGCTTCTCTTACAGAAGAACCAGAAATGTAAGACATACTTGGTCTCTGGGAGACAGAACAAGATAACTACAAAAGCAAGCATATTCAGGCCTGCGTAGAATCCAAAAGCTGAAGGGAGGTTGTCAGTAAGGCTAGACAAAGGGGCTCTAGGGAACAACTTACCTCCTGTTGGCGTAGTTTTGTCTAGTAGTGAGGGAAAGGTCAAGGAAAGAATAGAACCAATCGTATTATTCCAGCAAACACAAAATGCAACACCAATCTCTCTGTGAGACAACGGGAACGCTTCGGAAACATAGACGAACGGTACAGGTCCTATCCCGGGGGAATAGAATGCCGTGAAGAGGTAGACGAAGAAAGCAATTAGTGGAACTCGAGCTGACACATCGGTTGATATGAGAAAGCAGCATCCAGCCACGATAAGACACCAAGCCATGTTGGGAAATGTAAACAACAAGAGGTTACGTCGACCAAATGTATCGATCTAGTTCTTGTTAGTATCTAAAGAGTCCCTGCTTTTCATTTCAGGCTTACTTACCGTCCAGATAGCTGGGAAAGCAAAAACGAACTAAAACCCGATTTGTCAATCAGGGAAACACTTTAAGATGGAGCCTGGCGAGCTTACATTGACGAGGCCGAATCCTAGAGACGCTAATAGGCATTGCAAAGTCGTGTAGCCGGCTTGAGAAAAGATTGTGGACGAATAGAAGGACATGATATTGATGCCTGTTTCGATTAGAAACGGTGTCGATCGAGAATAGCAATGAAAATCCGTATACTTACCCGAGAATTGCTGAGCGGTCATTGCAATGCAGCCGCCTATTGTTGCACGCCGTAGACGGGGAACAGTAAGCAACTCGGTGGCGCGGCGAAAGAAGGTTGTGCCACCGAAAGCCTCAGTTTCCTCAACAATCTGGCGGTAGGCATAATACTATTGAAACATTGTATATGAGTTATTGACTTTTGACAAGGTCTCTCGAAAGTGACTACTCACCAAATCTCGGGCGGCCTGCACCTCACTGTTCCTCAAGCGGCAAAATGAATTGTAAGAATCTCGGTAGCGATGCTTCTTCAAAAGCCAACGAGGAGATTCTATTTTGTTTCCGTTAATAATTATTCTTCGGACAAGCTCTTTTTCTCAAAACCAATACTTACCGGGACAGAACCAAATGAAGATTAGGATTGGGATCGCAGGCGCAAAAGCCGCGGCAAGTTGAAACCGCCAAGCAAGACGGCCAATTCGATAAAATATGAGGTTGGAACAGAAACCGCTACCAAAGTTGTCAGGGGAGTCAGAGAAGTCCACATCGAACAGCTCACACTAAGATGCCGAACGCGACCCATAGCTGGAAACTCATCACGAGTCCACCACGAATAACAGCTGGAACGGTTTCGGACGTCATGATAGGGATTGTCGAGATCTTGACTCCCATGCCTGTAGTTTATCAGCATCTCTGAGCTTTAATCGGGAGTTACATCCATACCTAAGCCCATAAAAAGACGGCAAAGGAGCAATCCCCACCAATTCTGAGAGAACCCTTGAGCCAGAACAGGAAATACACAGCTAAGAAGGTGATTAGTTGGGGATTTGGAGATTGCTTCATTCCTTACAAGAGACCCGTGAGGAAGATGACGCCTCTACGGCCAAGAAGATTGTTCAATGGATCGGTCGCCCATGCACTGCATAATCCGAAGATGGTAGGGCTGAATCGAGAACAATCAGTTTCCAATAGCGTTGGTTCTTTACCCAGAAACTTACGCAGAGTTGATCAATCCAGTGAGCCACGTGTTATGTTCAATACCGAACTCTTGTGGGAAAGATAAATTTGCACCATTGGCACCAGTATTATCCCATCCCCTAAACAAGATTAGACTCCTCAATCAAAACAGGCCATCGAACGTACTGAATCGCAGAGCCGAGCGAGCAAACAGCGATCGTGTAGTATAGACTCCGAGGCAAACGCCAAGGATCTGTGATAAATTAACATCAACTCTCCCCAGCCTTCTTTCTCGTGAACATACTAGTGACTTCCCGGCGGAGATGGTACTTGTCATCTTCGTCAAGTTCGGCTATGTCTTCGAAGTCTTGAGGATACTGCGCAACAAGAGCACCTTTCTGGAAAATAAGTTCTTTGTCTTCCAGTCCGTGATCGGCACAGAAGCTAGAAACCTGTGTAAGCAGGTCACTCTTCGATATTCCCCTTAATGGGTTGATGACCCTGAAATCTGTAAGCGACCAGAAGCAAGGCGAAGACATTATCATAACAAACCTGGCATTGATATTACGGTTGTAATCTTCGACAGTATGCGCATGAGGTCCCTCGATGTGCTCGAAGGCCTCCTGCTTAGAGGGAGTCAACGTAGACATAGTGAAGTTGTCGTGAGAAGTACAATCACAATTGTTTGTGTAAGAGCGCTTGTGGGCCACTTTAGCCAAGCGGCGATCATTCTGAATATGTATTCATGAGATGCCCCAACGGCGACATCTTCCCTAGACTTGCATCCACGAAGTCACATCATGCAGGAACTGACGAGAGCAAATGTGCCCTGCACAGTACCACACGCTAGTGGCCCACATTGTGGATCTGGAGAAAGGCGGGGGATATGGGGTAATGTCAGCCACCGGAACCAAGTCCATGGTAGGTGACCTTGTTTCCGAATGGGATTCTGGGGCGTGCAGAAGGAGCAACACATTGGTCGGCCGTCCACCGGGGAATACCGGCACCGACCGCCAGCGAGAAGCCCTGCGTGTGTCCAGCGGTTATAAAGCCGGGCGCAAGGGCATGGTTCGATGGTGACCAGGTGCCCTGCATGTGGACCATCATTCCCGTACAATCCGGAGAATAACAAGATTGTCAAGGGGTGAATTCACAGGGCTACAGATGACGTTTATTTCACAAGGTGGCGTATTCTTTTCCGCTCCTCCGCCAGGGTAACGAATTTTAATTCCGCGAGGGTAGTATTCCCTCCTCAACAATAGATCACTACCTTTGTAGAAATTGATAGACCTACAGTTATAAACAGAACTTTCGAGACCTTGATAAGTATGACGACTTGCAAATGAAAATCTTACCCTTCAGTAATCAACTTTGATTACCTTAGTGGAGGAGTAGTCCTCTGGCCTCCCTCTGTATGATATGCTATTCACTTCTGGTTGGACCAAGTGGCCATGACAGATTCAGATGCTGCTCAGACTTGTCCTTGATTTTTCTTCTTCTTAATGAGTAGTTCAGTACTGTAGCAGCATTCACCTTTGCAGTATGGGTGTCTAGCTTGAGAGCCCAAGCCTGACAATTTAGGGGATGAACTTTGTAGGAACTCATTCCATACCCGAACACATCCGGTGTCCGCTTCCTTATCTTTGATTTATCTATTTTTATTCTGTCTCTGGTATGTATGTCTAGAGTTCATCCATGATTATAATCACCAACATCAACATCAACATAGCGAAAAGCAAATATCAGACCTTCACTTGGTTTCTCTCTTTTCTACGGAGCGACCAGTGTAAATATCCGATGTCAGAGGAAAGAATTACGTTGGATTGTCTTGTCTTGTCATATTGGCAGCATGTATCAAGTCTGCCACTTCGCTTTTCCATTCACTTCAATCGTGGCACACTCCCAGTCGACCAAAGGCATCAAGTTCCACACTCGCCTATAGATATCCGCTCCATCACCCCGACTAAGCTTCTGTGCACCACCAGAAGATTACTCCAGTGAAAAAATTAGGGGTAAAAGGAGGTTAGGGGAGGCTCAGGTCTCGTGGGGCCTTCTGCCGCTCAACATGGTATCTATCTAGGTACCTAGGTACAAAACAGTACTATACGAACCTCAAAGACCCTCAAGACGCTCAAGAATTCCACCTCCATTGAATCGACTTCTTCACGTGCTAGCCGTACAGCCAACACAGATATATCAACCACATATCTTTTATCTAGACCTCAGGATGTTTGCGTTCCCCCGATGCGTCTGGGAACGGCTCAAAGGGCAAAGAATCCAGGAGAAAACGAAGTCACCAAGGGGAACCAAGACCGAAACAACGCTTTCGCGGGAGGGGACAACAGAGACAGCATCGGACGACCAACAGCCTCGGAAAAAACTCATCCTCGCCTTGTACGACCTTGAGTGCACTATGGATCCCCTCATGGCCGCATAGACATACAATAATTGCTTTTGTCCCTTGACTCGGGGCTCTTACAACCGATAGGCGGATACCTACACAGAACCAAAGGGCAATATTCTGAAGACTTAGGCGATTGGGACCGGCCGATATCATACGTCCTCCAGCCCGTCTAGGCGTTCTATCCGAGATAGTCTTTTTCAATATATCGTTCTATTTTACCTTTTTATGCTATAACAAAGGAGAAGATGACAAAGTGTCGCATCCACAAGCATCATTCCGAGTAAAATCTTGAGACAGCTGGGCGCTTCTAGGTCGTTCCTGTTTCAGAAGTTATGGATTCGGAAGAAATAGTGGAAAGATAGACATCTAGCCACACAACCCAACAGGTACTAACGATACCGGTGTTTCTATACAATGTCTTGAAGTCAGATACCAGACAGACATTAGGATCTGCGAAAAGACGGCCCTGATGGGTGTTGCCCCCAAGATCAACCCTCCGATGAGTGGCTCTACGCCATGGATATCGACATATACAACTACTGAGTTGGGGGAGCATGG